TTATTGAAATGTGATGATTAGTACTTGAGGTATCAGTGGAAAAGCCGAAAATTGATTAATCATTATGCAAATTAGGTAATTAATATTGCACAGATTTTTACCCAAAACTAATCAAATCTGCGCATTAGTTTGGAGCATCTGTGTGCCAAGTTTCATCAAAATCCAATGAGTGGTTCTTTAGATATCAGTGGAACAGTCATGGAACAGCTAAAAATCAGCTAATTATCATGCAAATTAGGTAATTAATATGCAAGGATTTTTATCAAAACCTAATCAAATCTGCGCATTGGCCCGGAGCATCTATGCATCAAGTTTCATCAAAAACTGATGTATGGTTCTTGAGATATCAGTGGAAGAGACGGACACACACACACACATACAGACAGACTAACTGCAAAGACTCCCTTTTTGTGCTTCGCACACGGGAGTCAAAAACTTTAGTTATCAACACTTAAATGAATTAATCAGAGGAAGAGGAAGGAATCAAATCAATCTGACAGTGATCTATCAAAGGCACCGGCAAATGGAAGTCAGAAATTACAAAAAATGAAAATTGTTTTCACTAAAATTAGAAAATTGAAGATATCAACAAGAACCAACAAACAAACCTGAGAGGTTAACCCACAGCACCTACATGTGAAATATCAAGGCAATCAAGAGAGCTGTTTTCAATAAGTCAAAAATAGCAATTTTTTCCAAAATTGACAGAAATATTGTCACAAAAGAAAGGAATCTGACTGAGGTTCACCCAAAGTGTCGACATATAAAATAGCAAAACAATTTGTAAGACGAAGTTGAAAATATCACTTCTTACCAGAAATGAAAATATTTATCAAAATTAGAGATTTGAAGATATCGTCAGGAAATGAACAAAACTGAGATGTCTACCTGTGTACAAATATCAAAGCAATCGGACTTGCAGTTTTTGAGGAGAAGTTAAAAATATGTCAAAAATGTCAAAAAATACTCATCAAAATTAGAGAATTGAAGATAGCTGCACAAAATGAAAAATCTGAGAGAGGTCCACAAAAATAAGGTACAAAAAGTTTTTGATGAATTGAATCCTGGTTCTAGTGAATTTATTATATATGAAAAAGAAATATCAGGCAAGGGCAGAATTTGGATACCAACTGACTATATTGTACAGGGTAATACATTTGCGAATACATTCAAATATTAGTGATAAGATCACAAAGCAAAATTTGCATGAAATTAAGGAGCATTACCAAAAAAAAAAGCAGAATTTATACTTCTTAATTTTGACTTCATACCATTGAAGCCTTTCCATCATTTCCATGTTGTTTACAATCTATAACTCGTACCTTAAAAGTGCTTGCTGTAGAGACATGCCTTATCAAACCATTACAAGCTGCTAGTCTTCCATTAATGTTCAACTGGACAATCTACAATTAAGACAAGGAGTGTTGTTATTTTTTTTTCCTCTTTATTTTTGTCGCACAACATTTACAGACATTAAAATCACTTCTGTCACTCCAGACAGTTTTTATTTTTGGTGCTAATTGCAAGTGCATTTTGGGAAAGCACAGTTGACTGTACTTTGATTTACCCTAATGAGTTAGTTCCAGGAATCGAACCCAGAACTCCCTGATGAAAGGCGAACATGCAAACCACTGTACAATTGCCCAGGTCAGGCATCTGTTGTCTACACTCACGAAATGAATTAAGAATTTATCGCAGACTTTTCATGTTAATTAATATGAACAGAACAGAACAAAAAAATTATGAATTATTATACTAATTAGAGAATTAATATTAATCAAAATTAATCAGGCCTGTCTATTGTCCTAGAGCATTTATGTACCAAATTTTATTCAAATGTGATGATCAGTAATTGAGATATCAGTGTTAATTAATTATGTTAATTAGGTGATTAATAAGCATAAATATTTACCAAAAACTAATTGGATTTCTGCAAAGTTCTCTTTAAAAGTTTCATTAAAATCCAATTTGTGGTTCTTTATATATCAGTGGAACATTATGCAAATTAGGTAATTAATATCCAATTAAAACTAATCAGGTGTCTGCATAATCCTAGAAGATCTATGTAGCAAGTCTCATTGAAATATGATTACTACTTGATATATCAAAAGCTGAAAATTAATTAATTATGCAAATTAGGTAATTAATATGTACTCATATTACCCT